TATGTAGACAGTGAAATCACAGTGCTTATAAGACAGGAACGGGAACAGTCTTGTCACAATGCACCACTCACTTCCAGTGTAGACACATTGTAACAGGTACTGTTAGACCATTAGCATGCTAAAGCACAGCATGCTATCAGCATGCTACAACCCTCTCGGAGGAGTGCTTTTGTCACAAATTCGCAACCTTCACCAATTCATTTGTTACAGTTAAAGGCATTATACTCTGTATGCAATCTTGTCATCCATACACATCAGTGTTCAAAGAACTTTTCAGTTAGACCACTAACCTAAACCTTTAGTGAAAGATTTGTATTCGGCACTTTCCCGTTTAAAATCCATGTCGCACATGGGCCAGATTTACCAACAGCTTGCGTCAACGCAAACCCTCTTTTGGCGTTAAAAAACTACTGTCAGGATTTACTAAAGAAACGGAGTGAAAAATTAGAGCTGAAAAGGCATGCACAGGGTTATTTTTGTGGCTGATCTATTTGCATTTGTAGGAGTTTCCCTTCTCAGATGCAAAATTTACGGGACGAGAGTATTTATATAAATCAAGCAAGGTGATTTACTAAGGATTGCGCTCGTCAATTTACTGGTATTTGCGCCATTATTTACCGCCCAAAAAAAGCATTACTTAAACCAAACGCTAATTTGCGCTGCTCTTGGTAGATTGCATTGGTCATTATGGAAATGATCTGGCTGCTTCTGTGTTCTTTAATTTGCGCGTTGTCAGTAATCCCACACAGAACTTTCCATTCCCATAGGCATTTTTATGGGATTGTGCTCTCACGTTAATTTGCCATGTTTAGTAAATCTGGCCCAAATCTTTTAGCATTCATTGCACGTTATAACCACGTGGACAGTCGCTCTGATCTCTAGACAGACAAATCTCTCAACCTCATTTTCTTTCTCTTTGTCTCATCCCCTTTGGAGTCAATGGAGCATGTGGCTGTCTAAAACAGTCATATCCTTTTAATCAGTTCTACCCCAACTCCCACCTTGCAAAAGCTCAGATGATTCATTCACATGACCCTGCACACGATGCTCAGTACCATTTCATCTCACGGAGCACTGAGTTGGAATAGTCAAGCACACCAGGCTGTTGAGTGTGACAGGGCATCCTAAAGCTCTGGGAATCTCTTTGGGCCCTGTGTCTGTATTCATTACAGGAGCCAGCTAGTATGTCAATACATTAATAATATGCTCCATCACTCTAGAGCATATGCCGAGAATGGGGGTTAGGGAAAAGTCAACTTCTTCTCAGCCATGCATCTACACATCGTCCGCTTCTATTTTCTCAATACATACTCACTAATAAATACAGTACCGTCTGAATAAAAGAAAGTTAAATCAACTTACTATAGCCAAAGATGCCTTACAAAAGGACTGTGGCAGTAGCATGGTTCAGCAATAGTACCAGATCTAATATCATGGAACTTACTGATTGCCATAGATCAATGTATTTAAAAGGTACTTCAATACCATTATAGTAGTGTCCGTTTATAATGTAATACCATAATATAGTTTTTGGGGATGAAAGTTGTGATACTGATATTGTAAGGCAATTGTAAGGCAACATTTTGGCCTCAGGTGTACATTAACTACACCCAAGAAACATTGTGATTAGATCACCAAAACCATATTCAGAGGTGGTCAAAGATGGATTCTGATCACTGCTGTTCTGAAATTTTATTTATAAAGTTTTGGAATTAAATGGATAAGATCATAACATTGAATGGATGACTGGGAACAGATTTACTTTGTCCCCCGTTGCTCTCCTCTCCGCTGTGCAACTCTAATTGCACTCTAATTAACATTTGACTTACAAGAGGATCCAGCCTCCTGCTTGTTGTACAAGCAGTTTAAAGGCCCAGTGCACACTAGAGGAATAACTGCAGGTCTGGATGTTCACTACCAGCTCTTAATTTAAATGTAGAAGTTTGATAATGACTAATTTAGAGGATGCCCCTCATACATTTTTTGGCATGCCTAAAAGCAAGGTATTGCACTGGCATTTCTTATTCTGCATACTCTGATCAGGTCAAACATCTTTGAGGTGAAAGGTATCTGAAAGTCTTGGTAAATTTCTGGGTGGAGCAAGACATTATTAAAATAGTAATGGTCTTGTTTTGAAAAAAAATATCAATGAATCATTTGCACTTGTTTTACTGCTTAAAACATGCAACTAGCCTGACTTCTTATAGAAAACTAACATTGATGCAAACTTATGTCAAAGTATCTCAAAACACTCAACAGATTGAGAATATTGAGAATTAGGATTTTTACCACTCATGCATGTATGAGTGGATTGTCTATGCCATATACAGTCCCTGATCTAGTGCAGTTATTAAATTTCTCTGTCTTTGGTTACTAATTTAATGACAGTTAGAAAATGAGTGGCTGTTATTAACAAAGTTCCTAGTCTTGGAACCAGTATTCCAAGGATAATAGGGTGTGCAAAATGATAACTGACCTCATTCCTAACAATAACAATAAAATTCTTGGCAGGCACTACTATTTGCGATGAAACAAGAGGTGGTACCTAACATTATTTCCTACTTCTTCTGTTCATCCACCCAGGAGTTTAAATTAAGAGGCCAAAACAAATCTATTTTCTCTCTCTCTCTTCCTCATCTTTCTCTTTCTGTGACGCAACAGCCTCCCTGCTATCCGCTTCTTTTGAGATCAACTCCAAAGAAAACAGACAAGCAATTATTAATCAGACTGCAAAAATTAACCTTGTCCTACATGGGGTCACATCTGTCTGTTGTCTCAGAATGACCTGGAAGTGCTCGGGCAGGTGGCAGCATCCAAAGCGGATCTAAAAACTCGACAGCCCTCATTCTCCACAAAGGGAGAGGCCCCTGAACACTCTTTAATGTCCCATGCTGTCACTTGGCTTGAAAAATATGTCAAATGTGTTTTCCATAAGCATTCCAGAAGCATTCCTGTCACCACTCCTTTCCACATACCAGTGGAATTGAGAATACACTGATAAAAGACTAGAATACATGTTCCGAAAATCATGCCATCATTTAATTTAGGCAGTGCTCTAGACACTTCAATCCAAAGCAACTTTAAGTACACTTACTACAGGGACAATTCTCCTGAAGCAACCTAGGGTTAGGTGCTTTTCTCAAGAAACCTTTCTCTTGAGTCTCTCCATCATTGTCTGACTCCGGTTTGAACAAAAATGCTAAAGGTTTTTAAAATTTTCAGTGCGTGTCTATGTGCGGTAATCAGAGCTGCTAACACACAGGAGCTCTTGAAGCTACGCCCTCTGTGTCGGGAGCAGCAGCTCATTTGCATTTAAAGGGACAGATACAAAAACGGTGCGTTTTTGCTCACCCTCAAAAGGTGACAATTTTAACATGCTATATAAAAATATTTGTGGGGTATTTAGAACTAAACCTTCGCATACACACTCTGGGGACATCAAAGACGTATTTTACATCTTGTGAAAATGGCATTAACCGAAGTATTCATAGGACAGTTAGGAGGCAACGTGGAGGCAGGGTGAGGACTCGCAATGACAATGACAGTAGTCCGAGCTGTGCACACTCGGCGCCATACCTGTCAACACTCCCGTTTTTCCCGGGTTTCTCCCGTGTTTTAGCCCTATCTCCCGGACCCCTCCCGGTTTGTTATTTTTCCCGGGAAACTCCCGTAATTTGCATGGCCCGGGCCAAACTCCTTTATGAATAATCGGACCAATATGTTTGTCTAATGTTGACCAGTTGCCAGATTGTATTTAATGCATTATATTCACACAATCCACAGACCATTTACAATTTCAACCCGTTTGTCGCCTCAACCTGGCAACCTATAACCCATTTGCGCAGTCGCGGAAAGTTTAACCCGAAAGCGAGCCGATAGACATGATGGCAGGTGATGAAGGTGGTGTTCCCGCAATGAAACTTAAGTACAGTTTGTAACGCGTTGCTTCAGGAAGATTAGGGATAGCTCTCAACTGAAGTTATTGCATGCAGAGGCCAGACAGACACACGGAGGCGATTGGCATCTCACAACTCGCACTTTATTCCCAAATCGAACTCGTGTAGCCTAACTGTCTGTCACACGTTCTACCGTCCACATCGTTACTTAATAAACAAAATAAGAAAAAAATTATCATCAAACATAAATTACCCGCATACATGGGGTGTTCGCAAAAGGTGTGTTCGAGGCCCAAGGCACATTCAATACAATACTGCCGACAGTTCCACAGGGAGCGCACAGCTCTTAAAGGGGCCACACCTTATTTCCAGTCGTTACAAGTTGTACATTTACCCCCCCCCAAATGTTGACAGGTATGCTCGGCGCCCGCGTGAGGCAGATCTGGCCGCGCTGCTCGTATCGTCTCACTCATGATCTGTGCCTTGCCGTGGCGAGTCAGCTTTTGAACTAAACAGGTCTTGTCTACTTGTGTTTGTATGTCATATGAATAATATATATGTGCCCCATACATGGAATCAGAGTGCATACTGTATTTAGTAAATGGATAATCTCTACAGCAAAAGGCCTACCACTACATGCATTCGGGTTATTTCTACCATTTATTAATAATGATTTACACAGTTTGCTTACTACTTACTACATACCTGAGCATTCAGTATTGTGTAATATAGCATACAGAAGGTGATGGACATTTTGGGGGGAAAGAAGTGCTGCATTTTATCATTTAAACGTGACTTTTCATGAAAATTCTATAATTCAAGACTGCCACCACCATATGATGTCATAATATGCAAATTAGATGGGAAAATGTAATCCCTACATAAACTTTGGGTCATCCTTAATATTTCTCTAATTTACAGAAAGTCTCTATCTTTTATCACTTTTAAGATATAGCCTTTTGAAAATAAATTTCAAAATCAAACGTTTTAGGAAAAAACCTCTGGCGCCTAAAGGGTTAAAACCACCCCTTTAATAACAATGAATTGCTATATATAGATGTTTGAGGATCCATTAAGTGATTTATGGTAAATGTGTTTTCTTACCTGATGAAGAAGGATGCCGCAGCTGAACTGGGATGGTCGGAGGAAGAGGGCACAGCCTGGCCATCCTGAACCTGACCTCTCTGTCTGGAGGGAGTTATGGACACTCTGGAGATGGTTGTGTCTGAAGACCATTCGCTCTGCTCTGCTTGACCCACGAGGCCTTGTGACTGGGGTGGGAAGAAGCAGGATATATGACGCTTAAAATATTGAAATTCAATAATGAGATACTAAATTATATTACGCTAACTTAAACAGTTCCAAGAATCCTATGCCTAGGCTACACCTTCTAGAAGAAACAGACAGCAAGTCCTTACAAGGAGCAAGAGGCAGTTCCCTTACAAATTATGTTTCAAAGGTACCGTATTAAAAGGAGGTGGTAACAATTACTCGCATGCATTTATGATAAAGTACATAATTAGCCAACAGGAAGGAACATTCATCCCTGTACTAAAGGTATGAATAGGGTTTTAATGGGTAGAGATTAGACGGGCTCACAAGAAATGTGAAATCCTTAGTGAGATGCAGGGGTTGTCAATCCAGAAATGGGTCCACTAGGTCTCTCATGACCCGAGGCAATATAGGCACATCTTCCTCTGCACTCGAGAAAGAGGCCAGTTCAAGAAACTAGTCTTCTGTCAGTGTCTCCAATGGTGTCCACACAAAAGCTCAGTGAAGGTATAGCAAGTGGGCGAGCATGATTCTAGGAATCAACTATACATTCTGACATTTTAAATGCTGTTACATAATTCTTGCATTGAGTCTGTTAACTGCTTTTTCGTAAATAAGGAATATGAATAGAGTTTTTAGAGTTATTTTCCAGCTTGTTAAATATCCCTGCACTGGAACCCATTCATTCAGGTATGTTTTCATTATTGAACCAAAGTCAATTGTACCTCTTTGTCTCAGAGGTCTCTGAGTAACTAAGTAGTTAAACCCACAATCAATATTATCTGTCAAGATCTTGTTTTGAAAGTAGGCAGAGTGCTAAAATGCTTCAGGTAAGGTTGGACCATTTCCCAAAGACTATAGTGAGTTGAACACATTGAGCCATAGACAACCATGGCTTTAGCGTGGCATGTCAGCTACGTTGTGGTGGTTGTGCATAATGGCTGGATTCGTGTTTGCTCTGGATTCGTGTCTGGCAACTAAAATAACATCATTAACAATCTTTTCATGAAGCATATCCCATCCAGTGCGTGATGTGTCGACGCAACTCTGACAGGAGAAATATTTATATACCTAGGATGACATATGAGCTTCATACATCACAAACCTTCAGACACATGAGAGATGGACTACGACAAGTAGCATCCATTTTGAGATGTTTCTAGTCTGCACTTTGTTGAACTGTGACATTTGGTTGAACAATTACTAAAATATAAGCTTCAACTTGCGGGATGGGGGATTCTAAACAAAGCAGAGAAAAAAAATGGATTTGTTTTGTTTGAGTTGTTCATGTCTGTTTATTCAGATGCCTCAGTATTGCGTTTATGTCTATAATTGCTTTCTGTTTAGGGTTGAAATCAATAATTGTTATGTCTGTCAGTTATGTTGTAGAACTGACAAATGTGTTGTTAAAAATGACAAAGTATTCATGTGGACATTAGTTAAACTAAATTTGTTTCTCTGAATGTCTTCACATGCACTAGCTGTTCCTGCCACTTTTTATATGAGCTGCTTTACAGTGTCCAGGTTTTTATGTCTGAGAGAAGTCAGAAAGGGCTCATTTGAACTTAGCACTCATGCATTCATCAACACAAAAAACACCATGTCAAAAACAACAGAGTCATATCACAAAGCATGGCATTCCGATTTCAGACGAGCCGTGATAAATCAAAACAGCGTCACACTGACAGCGAATGGTGTCTATCTGGACAGGACGGTAATCCCCCCACGTACAGATAAAGAAGAAACGAGTGTCAGGTTTCACATCAACAGGATGTTTAAGGGGCTACGCATTCAGAGCGAGACTGAATTTGGGACACACAAACACAGACATTAGACACACAATCACACACACACACACACACTGAAGCAGCTGTCAAAAAAACCCACTATGGGTTTTTGAGGACTTAAGCCCTCCAGTCAAGCTGTTTTCATGAGTGTCAGACACAGAGCACGAGGTGCGCATGATGTATCCCCAGGTCGGGTCATTAAAGTACAGCTGCAAGAGCTCCTAGCATTCAATAAAATCAGGTATTCTCTTTATGCTACACCCTACACCCAGTAAACACCCCACCAAAATCCAGAAAATCCTACTACTCGCATCTCCTTTCGAAGGTCTGTGTCTTTCACTTTCCTTTATTGAAAGAAGCAGCATAATTTTTCTCTCTCTCTCTCTCTCCTTCTTTCTCTGGCTCAGAGGGCGGTAGATCACAGTCTGTTCACGCTGCTTAAGGATTCCTGGTTTTGGGCTCCCAGTAGGCCACTAGGTCATTCCAGCCCATATGAAGCCCACGTGGAAAATCCCACCTCGATATGCTCTAATAATTTTATCTGCCAAGCTCGAGCAAAGAGCAATAAAGCTGACAGTAACATGCTCTCAAGGCAGTTTTTCTTTCTCTTTTTAAAGGTGCTTCTAATCAGATTATATATATTTTTTTTTTAAAACTTCACTGTGCTCATTGCAATGCATTCTGGAAATGTCTTTTTGGCCAAAACAAGCTTAAGAGGAATCAAGATTAAGCTGACGATTTGGTGCAGCCTACAGTACATGTCGGATGTGTAAAAACATGAAAATGATATACACTTTCTTAAGTGTGGGTCTAAATGTGTTTTTATACCCCTATATAAACAGGTATCATGATGGTAATACATTGATCGTAATACCATGGTACTTGATCGTAATACCATGGTACTTGAATATTGTAATCACTTGTTACCATGGAACATATGTAACCAGTCCTACTCGACCCGCTGCGGCGTGGGAGGCGGGCGTGCCTCTTGAGGCCAGGGTAGTGAGGTTTACTCCTACGTACATTACACTCACCCCCTAAACCTGACCCCCATCCGGCTTCTGGCACCAAATGTAACCAGTCCTGCTCGACCTGTCCGAGCGGGATTCGGACCCGGGTCTCCAGTGTGGAAGGTGGATGGGCTAACGAGGGCGCAGGACAGGGGAGTGGGGTTTACACACACTGGTCTATATCTGTTACACATATACATGTATCATGGTATTTATCTAAGTAATCCAAAGGACTTAAAAGGAATGCAATGGTATTAACAGAGTAAGTGCTCAAAACAAACACACACACACACAGTCTGTCTAAGTATTTCAGGCGTATGTTTGAATCTAAACTTGACAGGTGTCAACTTCATCATGTGTTGATGATGAATGCCCTGATTCTGCATCAAAGTTCTCCTTGCCATTTGATGTTTCACTTTTTGCTTTTGAGGAACTCTCACCTGCTTCAAAAGTAGTGATGTATCTTTACCCACTAGAAGAGACATAAAAACTCTACTTCACAGAACACAAGGCCCCTCCAAAGACTTCCTGTCAGACTCAGTCCATCTCAAAGGCTTTATCTCCTCCTCTTTCCTCCTGCCGATTGTCATTTCTCCCCTCAGAAATCAGATGAATTAAAGCTCTTTGCTCAAGGCTCTGCTGAAGTCCCAGCGCACTGCATGCAATATTGTCATCCCTCCAATCTAATGAAAGGAAGGAGCCGTTCCAAATTATACAAGGCACATCTTTGAACTAGGGGGAAACATGGAGCTCAGAGCAATTCCCGCTCATGCACAAACTACATGTGCGAGTGGTGTGTTTGGGTAAGTACCGCAAGGCAGACAGCTTCTGTTAGTTTTTTTAAGACGTACTGGGCCAGTTTTTTATCCAAGGCTTTTTGCTTTGTCTGTGCACAAGCACATGCTGGTTACTAAAAGCTTCTGTGTCGGCTCACTCGCTGGAATAAAAGCACTTGTTGACATTAGTGCAAAAAGAAAACGCACTGGCATCACTATTGTTAATCCCCTTTCGTCAATAGCGGTAACTGTTGGCAGGAACAAAAAGGCTCTCAAAGGCAACTGCAAAAGGTTGTCAACACCACAAAAAGATGAGATATGTATTATAATTAGATACCGCTCTGATGCAGCAGAGACTCAGCAATGGAAGACAGACAGGAATAGTTGAGCTGTCCACCTGTGGTGGTGAGCTTTGTTTAGTTTAACACGCTGAAGCTGTACACTTATACAGCTTCAACAGGCCACTGTGGAATGTAACAGTGCAGTAAGGCAGGCAGTCAATAAAACGCAGGAGTAATAAAATGAACTCCTCAAGCTGTCAATCTGCCAAACCTGCATTCTGGTGATCGATCGATATACTGTATGTCTGAGACCAATATATCAGACAGATGATAATCACATGCCATTCAGCCATTATGAGAATATTGTCAACAGTCAATAACAATAAATATTTGCATTTATTTAAACTGCTGTATATATACACTACTGTTCAAATTGTAGGGTCGGTAAGTTGAAAGAAGTCTCTCCTCACCAAGGCTGCATTTATTTGATCAAAAATACAGTAAATACAGTAATGTTGTGAACAATTATTACAAAATAAAAATGTAATATTCTTTAAAATGTAACTTATTCCTTTGTTGGCAAAGCTGAATTTTCAGCATCTTTATTACTCCAATCTTCAGTGTCACATTTCCTTCAGAAATCATTATAATATGTTGATTTGGTGCTCAAGTCACATTTCTTATTCTTATCAGAGTTGAAAACGGTTGGTGCCTGTCTTAATATATTTATAGAAACCGTGGTACTGTGATCTCTGGATTCTTTGATGAATAGAAAATTCAAAAGGTCAGCATTTATTTATATAATTATTTTGTATCAATGTAAAAGTCTGTCACTTTTGATCAATTCAATGTGTCACTGTTGGATAGAAGTATGAATTTCTTGAAAAAAAAAAATACAGTACAGTATATACACTCACCTAAAGGATTATTAGGAACACCTGTTCAATTTCTCATTAATGCAATTATCTAATCAACCAATCACATGGCAGTTGCTTCAATGCATTTAGGGGTGTGGTCCTGGTCAAGACAATCTCCTGAACTCCAAACTGAATGTCAGAATGGGAAAGAAAGGTGATTTAAGCAATTTTGAGCGTGGCATGGTTGTTGGTGCCAGACGGGCCGGTCTGAGTATTTCACAATCTGCTCAGTTACTGGGATTTTCTCGCACAACCATTTCTATGGTTTACAAAGAATGGTGTGAAAAGGGAAAAACATCCAGTATGCGGCAGTCCTGTGGGCGAAAATGCCTTGTTGATGCTAGAGGTCAGAGGAGAATGGGCCGACTGATTCAAGCTGATAGAAGATCAACTTTGACTGAAATAACCACTCGTTACAACCGAGGTATGCAGCAAAGCGTTTGTGAAGCCACAACACGCACAACCTTTAGGCGGATGGGCTACAACAGCAGAAGACCCCACCGGGTACCACTCATCTCCACTACAAATAGGCAAAAGAGGCTACAATTTGCAAGAACTCACCAAAACTGGACAGTTGAAGACTGTAAAAATGTTGCCTGGTCTGACGAGTCTCGATTTCTGTTGAGACATTCAGATGGTAGAGTCAGAATTTGGCGTAAACAGAATGAGAACATGGACCCATCATACCTTGTTACCACTGTGCAGGCTGGTGGTGGTGGTGTAATGGTGTGGGGGATGTTTTCTTGGCACACTTTAGGCCCCTTAGTGCCAGTTGGGCATTGTTTAAATGCCACGGCCTACCTGAGCATTGTTTCTGACCATGTCCATCCCTTTATGGCCACCATGTACCCATCCTCTGATGGCTACTTCCAGCAGGATAATGCACTATGTCACAAAGCTCGAATCATTTCAAATTGGTTTCTTGAACATGACAATGAGTTCACTGTACTAAAATGGCCCCCACAGTCACCAGATCTCAACCCAATAGAGCATCTTTGGGATGTGGTGGAACGGGAGCTTCGTGCCCTGGATGTGCATCCCACAAATCTCCATCAACTGCAAGATGCTATCCTATCAATATGGGCCAACATTTCTAAAGAATGCTTTCAGCACCTTGTTGAATCAATGCCACGTAGAATTAAGGCAGTTCTGAAGGCGAAAGGGGGTCAAACACAGTATTAGTATGGTGTTCCTAATAATCCTTTAGGTGAGTGTATATATATATATATATTACTGATCCCAAACTTTTGAATGGTAGTGCATATACCTCGCTGTAAACCTCATCATAAAGTGTAACTGAAACAGCAATACCGATCCATTCATTGACAACATGATACTAATTTCCAAAACACTCACTCATAAAGCAACAGGTGCACTGACAATGTAAAACGGCACTAGAGATTTACAAATCTGTCAATGAGGACATAAAATGTTAACACACAGTCTTAGTGCATTATGTTTCAAGCATGCTCTCCATGTCTAACTGAGTGCATGTGATTCAGTTATGCAGGTGTTTTCAACTGCGACTCATTCAGACAGCTGTAGCTCTCACATAACCGGACCGAATGTTATAACTGATGCCTATGCTGAGCACTTCCAAACAATAATGCTTCAAAAAGCCCTTCAAAGTGAACTTTTCCATACCTCTCAACCATTATATGACAATAACAGCAGCACATTTGACTTAGCAAAAGTGCATCCATATGTCTGTTATTTTCAACCCCTACACCCTACTCCTACTGTGAACGATAAAGCCTTTGCAGGGAATAAACATGGTCACTTATAAATTGAACACATTAGGAGTTTGATTTTTAGTATAGTAGTAAATGTGATCTGATACATCAGATCAGCTGATTACCAATAAATTCATTTAATGCATAAACAAAAGAAATTGAAGGGTGTATACCGGGTTTGGCTGAGGCAGGAAGTTATTGACGCGTGAGATGCTCCACATGCCCTCTAAATACTGCTGGGCTTGAATGGTGACTGAGCCAATGGTCCCCGTCAGAGGTCTTCCTCCCATGGTCACCTGCACGCTGGGTTTCAGTGGACCAGCGCTGGGAGACGGGCTCTGAGACCAGCCCAGCTCACGTTGCCGCTCCCCTACAGGCAGGACGCTGTGCGCCGGGTGAGGTATCCTCGATTTGGTAGGTCTGGAGGAAAGAGTGACCACGTTGTGAGTCGTCAGCCTGGTGGGATGCCCAGGGAAGGTGTTGGGAGGCGGGGATGGCATGTGGGAACCAGGGTACAGTTCTTGGAGAGTCTGAAGCGCCTGCTGTTTTAGCTGCTGTGCAGGTGTTCCACACACCTGACACCTCCTTCCTTCATGTCCTCCTTTCAGCGGCCAATCAGGCACTTGCAGCTGGTCGATGATAAAGGAAGCAAATCCAGGGTCCTACAGAGAGCAAAAGAGGCGAAAAGAGCTGTTATAGATAGAAATTATGCTTGTTTTTATTGTTTTCCAGATGAATTCTGGCTTGGTGTCTAAAGTATAAAATAATAGTACAAAGCGATAAATCTCTGTAATGTGAAAATTATTAAAAAAAAAACATCTTCATTCATTCATCTTCAAAAAATGCATAATAATATTATCATCATCATCATCATCATCCTCATCATTATCATTATCCTCCTTATCAACAACAACAGCAGCAACACAACAACAATATTCTATACATCATATAAAAATATGATAATATAAATCTCTAATTTTTAAATATGTTTTTAAAAACACAATAATAATAATAAATTATTTTGTATATTATTATTATTATTATTATTATTACTAGTACCACTACTAATATTAATATTTTAAAATGTGTGTATATATATATATAAATTTCAAAGATTTACAGCATTAAATATATATATATATATATATATATATTTAATGCTGTAAATCTTTGAAATTTATTTATAATCATAATAATAAATGAATTATAATTAGTCATTAACAACATCAACAAATATGTTTATAATGTTTCTGTTTTATAATGTAACATATAAATGTTATATTTTATGTTGTAAAGATTATAGAATAAAATAATATTAAAATATAGATACATTTTCTTATTTCCAGATTTATCTGAGCTCACGGTCTAAAACGAAGAATCATTTGTGATATTAATACTAAAAATGCTATAACAATTAACAACAATTTATTAGCAGGCCATTTAAAAATATGCAGAAAAATGTATATTTGGATGAGTTTTGCTGATAAAAACCAGCCCAGCCATATAGCCTGCAGACATTTAGACAAGATCTTCCTAGTTGTCCCAGAAGCCTCATCTTAATTATAATATTTCAAACTAAGCAGAGCTGAAAAGTGAGAGTTTTGTGGGTGGAGGGATTGAGCAGTGGGGTGGGGGGGTGGGGTGGTGGGCGGTAGGGTGTAAAGAAAACAACAGCTGAGCCCGGGCATGAAGCACATTGCAGCGTGTATTTACATTTGATAAGACTCCCAGCAGGGAGAGATATGACAAGAGACCCAGCATGAAAATAATCATCTCCCATTCAATGCCAGGGGCATGACGCCAGTCTACCTGATGGACAGGGGCTTATGTGTGTGTACTCGCACTCAAACACAATCAAGTGCTTGGAGCAGTAACTATTGCTACAATACAGGATCACTTATCATGATACTACAACTGAACATAAAGCCGATATAAAAGGTGAACATGTAGAATTAATTGGAAATTAATGACATGCTTGTACGGAATTCTTCACTTAAAAATGAAAAATCTGTCATTATTTACTATTTAGTCACACTCTTTCTCTATTCATGGAAAAAAGCTACTTGGACGTTTTACGTTCCACAGAAGAAAGAAACCATACAGGTTTGGAATGACATGAGCGTGAGTAAATGATGACAGAATGCTAATTTTAGAGCAAACTATTCCTTCACGGCACTTGTTTAATGCTGTAATTACTCTTTTACATCCACACTCACATTCACAAATGTTACATTCTAGATCAGTATTAATGAGGTTAGACCCTGACTGGAGCCCAGGGCAGCATTGATTTTTATGGAGCCTGCTTTTCTCAGAGCCACAGAAACCTGGATGAACGAGAGCCTAAAACGACTACCACTAAATTAGGATATGTATTGCAATTAAATCGTAATTACTACTAAAACAGACTTCAAAATGCAAGCAAAACTCCTCTGTTAAATAAAATATGGGGTCTCCTACAGACGGTTGGGAATGCAGGCGGATATGTTTGTGATTTGCGCCCTGAATTTAAACTTCTCAACTCAGGTGTGCTAAAGTCCAATTACTAATTATTCTGTGGGACTAATCAAAAGGGCATGAATATTTACAAATGATCATTTAGATACATTTTTGAATATCTTAGCTTGGGAACACAAAGCCAGCCAAATACTCAAAGATATAGAAGGAACCAGTTAGTGCTAAGAAGTGTGTGTGTGTGTGTTTAGATTTTAGAATGCTTGCTCATTTGCAATGTATTTCTAAAATGTTCTATGTGAGATGGTAGAACGACATTCTACAGATGTACAACATTTTTTTTTTTTTTTTTATTACGCTGCATAATAGTTTTCTTGTTTCTCCATAATTGTTGAAGCCAGGTGGTTGGAGGGGTTTGAAAGAGTAAGTCGTTTCAAAAGTGGAGCAAGTTATTATATTTTAGTGGAAAATTGCAGACTTTTTTTTTTAAATCCTTGAAATAACATGAACAGAATCATGAACAACAAGACCAGGAGCTTCAAATATTTGCGAAAATTATCTTTCATGCAGTGTGTAATATAGCTGTTTGTAAATGATAGAGGTCTGCAAAGCTTTAAAGATCAAAGTGCATGTCAAAGAAAGTTATTGTCTCCTAAAAGAAAGAATCAATTCTAAACTGCCGGAAGCGATTCGTCAGTAATTCCAGTCTTACTGTTACATATACGTAACAATGTATAATGCCAGTCTATGATCTTCATTGGCCGCTAACGAACAATATCTACTTTGACCCGCCCTCAAACACTGTAGTTGTAGCCGAGACTGGAAGAGTTTGGTTCGTGTTGTCGACAAATCCACTTTTGCATGCATTTCAAAAGGGTGAGAACTCGCATTGGAATTCATAAGGAAACACCAACGCCACTGTCACTGTTCGTATAAATGTGTATTCAAGCGCTGAAGAAGATCCAGAGCTGAAATTCAGATGTGGTAATGGCCATTTCCTTTCCGACAACAAACTGGGCCGTTTGACCAATCAGAGCAGAGTAGGCTCTCGGAAAGGAGGGGTTTAGAGAGAATGAATCTTTGAACAAACCCTTTTCAGACTATTTGAGAAATGAGGTGATGAATATTATGAGAAAAGTGTTTTGATGAATGTAAACCTATTGTAAGAGAGCTCCTAATCTAAACTGGGAACCTTTAAAATAGCATAATAGGGGCACTTTAAAGTAACACTATGTAGTTTTTCAACCTTCATAATATATTTCCAAGACCCTTGTGATGGCACATCGACTTACAATAGGTTAAATGACACGTCTGCCATAGCCTGACGTGGTCTGTATCGCTTTTACTTGCACTATGTAACTTCGGGTTTCGGGTAGTAACCGGAGCACAAAAAGAACTACAAAATTCGACTGCTTTACGGCATACGTCACTTCCCCCACCACTTCCTCAAATTGTCTGTGGCCATTGTTGATTTCAAAGCCGGTGCTGGATAAACAGCGAGCGTGCGCGTGCGACGGTAGGCTAAATTATTTACGACAGCGGTAATGGACAATTCCGCTTCCAACCTGTAGGGCGACCGCAGAGGAAAAGTTCCTTGGTGTTGCTTTAAAAATGTAAATGGGCTGAATTCTGATTTCACATTGACTTGAAGACATATGTATTTTCTGTGGTATAGTAAAATGTACCGCCATTAGGATGGTACCATCCATCCACCAGTGCCAGAAAGAGAATTATAAAAAATTGAGAAGTGAGAGAGTGAGCGAGAGAGACATGATGAGAGGTAAGATGAGGGTTAGACCCCTGGCCTTGGGGCTTGTAGTTGGCCATTGTGTGACTTTATTGGCAGTCAGCTCTGGGTTTTTATGAAGCTCTGGGGATGAATGCAGGAGCCTATCTGCTGATTAGTGATGCACTAAAGAACAGAAAGCCAACAGAAGGATAAATGACTACATGTGTGCCCTCAGCCCGCTAGTCTGACTGTCTCTAAAACTAATGATGATGAGATATGAGTGTGGGGAAAGGACAGAGAATACAAGGGTGGGGGAAGAGCTACAGAAATACATGTGAGTGAAAAAAGAGAGAAAGGAAAGGGAGACGCAGAAGATAAAGCTGACAAATGAGAAGGTGAAAAGAGAAAAAAACATATGATGATGGATGAGATTGTAACATGTGGATAAAGAACTTTATCTATGATATTTGACCACCATTGCTGAAAATTATTGCTAGATGCCATATTTAATTAGACAAAACCGAATATATATATATATATATATATATATATATATATATATATATATATATATATATATATATATATATATATATATATATATATACGTATATAATTAATTTTAAGCCTGGATAGATTCAAACTCTTTTGCCTTAAAGAGATAGTTTACCAAACACTGAAAATTGTCATCATTTACTCATTCTTTTTTATATATATATATATATAGAAGGAATGTGTTTTTGGGCCCCACTGATTTTCATTGTATGAACAAAACATTCTTTAAAATATGTTAATTTGTGTTCCGCAGAAGAAAGAATATCAAGCAGGTTTGTAACGACATGTTGACTGTACTTTTATCTCTTACAACCTAGTTTTCAGTCTCATCAAATTAAAGTAATACGTTGTATTATAACAGAATACAGGTTTTTAACACTAAAGTTATATGTATTCGTAAAAAAAATACACATCTGACTGTGTCGCCTCTGGCTTGCTCAGTTGGGGACACTTATTATTCAGCAATATTATTGATCTGACTGCACTGACACGATTGGATGAGAACTCAACACAGCTGGATGATGACATCACTGTTTTCTACAGAACTGCTTTATAGCTGAATTGAACTCAGTTACTGAACCAAAATGAATCAACACTGAACTGATTTCAACTGAATAATGGCTGTTTACTATTGTCTTTTTAGAGTTGCTTTACAGCAGAATTGAATTCTGTTTGCATCATTGTTTTCCTGTAATCACTGTAAAGCTGCTATGAAACAATCTGAATTGTATGAATCACTATATAAATAAAGGTGACTTGACTTGACTTGACTGAGTCTCTAGCAACTGGCAAAGGTGGTTTGGCACTTTTGCTGCAGGTATGTGAGGGAGGAGCTGTTCTGAGATGGAAACCAGGGTTGTGTGAAAGTCCCAGGAACAGCTGTTTCTACACACCCTGTGGTGAAAAGGTGAGCGCTGGGTCTTTTCA